ATATATATATATATATATATATATATTATTTGTATATATCCATCATGAATATCTATTTTGTATTATATATGTGAATTATTTTAGTCTGTAAACAAAAAGTATGAAGTGAGTTGAGTATTTTAATCCGCTTTCTTAGGTTTTTTATTCAGTTTCTTTTTGAGTTCAACCAAAAGTAAATCCCTTGTTCTTTCCTGATTTCAGTCCAAATCATTTATATTTTTATTAAGTTTATGCTTAAATATTATAAATTATAAAATTATGAATATTATTTATTTTAAGAAATAGACTTAAAAATTTATTATTTCTATTAATTTAATTAAATAAAAATAAAGTTATTAAAATCATACCATACTCAATATTATACAGAATAAAAAAAAGTATAAAATAAATAATTTCTTATGGAGCGCTTACCAAATTACAAACACACAAGACAAATGTTATGTGAAGGGGATCGGAAAAATTAATCCACATTTTTATCCAAGGTAAGCTTGTCCATTCTATTCATTTTCCAAAAGTCAAATGTGCGAAAAAACAAAACAAGAGGACTGACCACATTGTCATCCTAATTATTAATGTGAATTATTGTTTAGTTTTATATATAAATAATGAATATAATCCTGAAGTACTAAGTGGTCATTTTAGTTCTGCAATCATTGATTTTGAGACTTTATTTAAAAGGTTTTTTTCTGTTACAGGTTTGAGTCACCTAAATCTGGCACAATTTATTTCGGATGGTGTCTAGTCCACGTTCTTTCTATTCTCTCCGTCCAGTCAACCTTGGTGGGCCGATCGGATGTGTACCTATTAAAGGTGCTTCGATACCAAAGTCAGTGATAATCCTCTGATCGGTAAATTAAACACTGTAATAAATGTGTAATTAATAAAATTCTCTATTTCTTATTTTTGACCTGTACTTATAGTTTTTGTTATGGATCTTAGATTAAAGAAGCCTTAATCATGTCCAACCTGAATGCAACAATCCTTAATCGTATTTTACCTTAATAATGTTCGGAGGCATCTACCTCAACTGGTCAGCCTCGCCACTCCCACCCAGTACAGGTCTAAATTCATTTTTTACTTGGATCTAATGTATCCGAATTTACGTACAAAGGATAGAAATCATGCCAAATTTTTGTTTTCACATTAGTATATTATCTATCCTATTTATTATTTTGACATGTAAGTCACATATGAATCCGATCACCTCACCCACAGATAGTAAATTGAACAGAAAGAAATGAATTGAATTTATACAGACATTTTTATTTTTATTATTTTTGTTATTGTTGAGATAAAAGAAAGGAGAAAATATCGGGGTCATGAATTAGATTTTACCTAATATACTGGGGGCCCAAACTGCAGACCATTTCATAAATGGACACGAAAGCATCTCTCGATCCCCAATCACTGCTACAGATACACATATTATAATAATAATAATATAATAATAATAATATTTGGTTCAAACTTTGTATGGTATTATCTGTCATTTATAATCAGCAAACTAACTCCTTAATTTCATGTCTCAAAACATTCATCCATGAAGCTGTTTGGTTTCTCCTTGAACTTGAAGGCTGCCATAGCCGGTGAAGATGGTGCAAAGAGGTTCCACTGCCGATACTGTCGCCGCCAGTTCACAAATTCTCAAGCACTTGGAGGGCACCAAAATGCGCACAGGAGGGAACGTGCTAAGCTAGCCCAGTTCAAATACCTTCTCAATCTTCGACAACAACATGGCCATAGGTTTAAAGCACCATACAACAACGGACCAAAAGGGTGTTTGGTTCCTCATCCAAATAGCTCACCCAACGTTAGTGTTGGTAGTGCAACTAGTGCAGCTTTGTTTCAATTTCATGGTGCAGGCACACTGCTCCAGCAAGTTCCAGCGCGTGACCATGACGTGGATGTGGATCTCAACCTCAGACTCTAGCTTCCTCCTCACACAACTTCAACTCAACTTCCCTTCGTACCAGGTGAGATAATTAGCCCATACTTTTTTCTTTTAATTAGGTCTTTGTAGTACTTTCTTTCTTTAAGGAAACACCTATAGCTTTTTTCATGTATACCTTATACAAAATGTTCAAAAAGAAGTGTGGATGTTATAGCCAATGTATAATTTGTGTTAACAAGTTTTTTTTGCTTTCTTTTCTTTGTGAATCACTAGCTGGCTTTTTAAGAAATTGGACGTACGTGATTCGGAGGATGGGGACGTCATGACTTAGATATTGATTCATCACTGTCTATGCAGTTTGATTTTCCTTTAGAAGTTTCCAATTTTGTTTCTATGATGCGTCAAAGTTTGTAAATTTCCTGTGATTATAGCTCAACTGTCATGGTTTTGATTTGAAATACTTGCACCAAATATAAGTAACATATCCGAGATACACATCCTCTGCAACCAAAAGATGGAAATGATTCGTTAGATGTTTGGAGAATGAATTGTCTTACGATGTTGTATTGTCTCAGCCTTAACTAATTAAGGTGTCATCGGCTAACAAGATAATTTTTCATTTAATTTATAAAACTAATTCAAGTTTAATGAATTTTAGTTAAGTTAAAATTATGAAACATATTCTTAATATACTGTGGATTGTACGGCTGATAAGCTGTGTTAACCAGAATTCTGAGTATAGCTGTGAGTAGCTTCTCTTTTCCTTTTGAGTTTTTATGAACATACAATATTCTATTATTACTTTACAATTCACTTTTTTTTTCTCACCTCTCTTTATATTTTTCAAGAAGATTACATTAGACGACTCAGTTATGAAAAACCTACTTCTATTGGTGTATATATGTAAGAGTATAATGATTGGGTTAAAATAACAGTCTATTATTTCTTTTACAGTATTTGAGAAAAGAATCTGAATGATATATATCTATATATATAGTGTATAGTAATGCATGGGTTGTAATTAGAGCTTTTGATTGTACACGTATTTGGCATATGTAACATAATAGTAGTAATTATATGTACTCTTTGCAAACATAGGCAAGCGTGTGAATGAGTTTTCTTGTGTCTGAGATGATTGATTAATCTCTTTGAGTGATTAAAGCAAAGCAGTTTTTGGTTGATATTGTATATGGATGATAAACTTGTATGATCTGCAGGTGTGTTTTGTCGTCAAAAAGGTATCTTTGCTTTTGGGCATCGTTATCTCAAACACAAACAGAATAATGTCTGATACAGAAATAGTGGAAGAAGCTTCTATTTTTTACCTCCATTCAGTGTTGAACGATTTCTCTCTTACAAAATTCGAGTTTTCGTTTTCGTTTTCGTTTCTACGTATTATAAATTAAATATATACTTTAAAAACATCAACGTGTATGATTAAATTAATAATGAATATAGTCTAAAATCATGTTCAGACAAGGTTGTTCGCCTGAGTCAGGAACTCCATCAACGTGATCAGGAGATCACTGATCTCAGAACAGAGTTTACGAACTTCAAGGACCTGATCATGAGAGTCTTGCCTGAAACCTCACAGGAAGTACAAAATATCCCTCTGACCCAGCCACGAGCCTCCTCATCACCTGCTGCCACTCAGCAGCCCACTTCAGTCCAACCCTCATCAGTCCAACCCTCATCAGTCCAACCCTCATCAGTCCAACCCACACCAGTCCAGCCATCAATAGAGGAGCAGGATGATGAAAATCATTCTGATGATAGTTATGTACATTATTAGGTTTCATTTTCTTATTACTTGTTAGACAAACATTTGGATATTAGAACATTTTCAGTTGATATAATTTCAATGTTAGATGTACTTACAGACTTTGGATGTTACAACATCCTTGTGTTACATTGTTTTATGTTTGAACTACCCCATACATTATTTATACATTAATGGATGTCTTGTGGATTATTTGATGTGCATTGGATATTGATCATTGATTGGATCTTTGAGATGCACATTATGCATGTTTGTATGTGTTTGAAAACTGTTATGCAGGTCTGTTTGTAATTGAAATTTGTTATACAGGTCTGGGTTGCACAAGAAAAACCATTTTGCTGAAACCTGCCCTGCATTTTACCGAAGGCTTTTGCCCTTCGGTAAATGCCCTCGTATGGCCATTACCGAAGGCTTTCGCCCTTCGGTAAATACCATCGTATGCTCATTACCGAGGGCTCCTGCCCTTCGGAACTTACCGAGGGCTTTCGCCCTTCGGTAATTACCGAAGGCTTTTGCCCTTCGGTAATTAGCGAGGACTTTTGCCCTTCGGTAATTACCGAAGGCTTCTGGCCTTCGGTAATTACCGAAGGGCGAAAGCCCTCGGTAATGGTTAGCGACAGAGGATTTACCGAAGGATTTTTGACCGCCGATAAGCCTTCGGTAAACACCCATTATCGATGGCTTTTGGCATTTTCCGAGGACTTCTGGCCTTCGATAATGCCCTACTTTTTTGTAGTGAATTAACATTCGCGTGCTTGAAAAAAAGCCCTAATGGACGTTGATGAAAAAAATACTGTTAACATCGATAGAATAACAGTCTTTATATACTTAAATAGAAAATATGACTAACATCTAATATTAGTTAAAAAAATTACCCTAATTAATATCAACTAAAAAGTATTCACTGATATCAATCGGAAAAAAGTATCACTGATATCATCGATAAACTCTGATCACCTTCGATTAAAAATAGTTATACCCCTTTTGCTTGAAAAAACCCTAATTGATGTTGATGAAAAACAATTCTAACTTATATTTTAATTAATCTTATGCAAATTTTATACTTAGCTCTCATTTCATAAGCTTGAATTACTATTATTATTATTTTGCTGAGTCATTCTAGCAAGCAACTTTTTCAAGTGTACATCTAGTTTCACTTAAACCCACTCAATGAAACATTGAAGATGGTCTTAATATTTTTAGAATAAATTACATTTGATCATTAAACCAATATATGGACTTAGCTTGCAAAATCTTAATCAAGACGAGTTTTTTCAACAAGCTTCAACCTTATTTTTCAAGCCCAGATTGAATCGAGGGCTTAGGCTTTCAATTTTCGGCACGAATTAAATATAACATTTTAGCTTAATCTAATTAAGACTTGATTTACGTTTTGTCCATAAAAACTTGTAAATATTGGGGTTTGATTGAACTTTAACAACATTTTATTAATTCTGAATTAGACCTAGATTTTGAATTAAATTTTCAACATACTTAAATTTGAATTTTCTTAAAATTTAATCTAGATTGGACCAAAAATCCCATTATATAAAGGATTTCATTTTATAAACTCTTTAAAGCTTGTTGCTTTTTAAAATACCCAAAATATAAAAAAAAACAAAGGTACTAGAATAAGTAGTTTTCGTTTTATTTAATTTTTCAAAAGAATTTATAGAAGGACAAAAGTTCGACATGGGTATATATATATAAAACAATTGTACACTGTTAATTTATTTATCCATATGAAAATACACGTAGACCTCAATAGTTTATAAAAAAAGTATTAAAAATAAATTTAGATAACAAATTATCTTAAAAATAATTTAAATAAAATTGTATACTAAATTATTACTAAAAGCAAAATAATTTTTTTTAAAATAAAATTCAAATAAATTGCATCATTAAGTATAAATTTAAATAAACTATTCTAAATAAAATAAAAAAACATAAATTTATAAAATTAAATTCTTTATAGTTATTTAATTTTTAGTTTTATATTATCACCAATAAAAATCAATGATACCATTCTATCAAATGTTATAACTTAAATTCAATCAATTTGATCCAAATAAATGTCCAATATAATATACCTTATCAATTAAACATATATTATTTTAAATGAATTAAATTTTAAAACTAGATTTTAATTTTTACATTTTTTTTCAGTATAGAAATTTTTACATTATTAATTAATTAAAATCATCCTAGATTTCACTATTAAATTAACTTACATTTTGGTACCTGCGTTGCACAACTTATTTTATTGTTGAAATTTAAGATCAATGTTTACAAATTTTGACGTAAAGTTGTTTTTAATTACGAACAAGTTCTTTAAAAAAAAATGTCAATTCACTTTAGCGACAAAGGTAAAACGATAAATGGCTAAGAAAATTAAATACATTAAGATAAAATAAAAGGATTTAACTTGGAATAGTCGAGGGAGATTGTTTTGCAATTAAAAAAAATATATACATTATTTAATTTTAATTTATGGAGCTAAAGTAAATAGCCATTTAATGTTGTAATAATTTTATTACGTTTTTGAACTATTATTGATTAAACATATCTAATAAGTGTTATATATATATATATATATATTATTCTTGTGCAAATATCTATAATTCATTTTAAAATAGAGTTTTAACACTTTAAAAATTAACTTTATACATGTCAAATCCGAAAATGAAGTATTTTAAAAGAAGAATGCAACTTAATAATGTTATTACAAAAATTAAAGGTGAAAGAAAAAGATGTTGTATCTAACTCTAAATCATATTATATATTCTAACAAGATTTTATATATTTTGATATTCCAATCATATTGTATATTTTTTAAAAATAAATTAGGGTGACCTAATTTAAAAGAGACACAAAACGAAGATGTTGTACACGTGGCAGTGAGTCAAACATGGACCATGTATCCGAGTTAGGAATTTGAAATGTTATCGCTAGCAGAGAGACGTTAGAAAGTTTCCCATTTTCTCACATTCAATAATGGCAAAAAGGCCTCTCTCTTTCAAAAAAAAAATTCTTTGAAAATAAAAAGCATTTAATTTGTGTTTCCCTTTACTACTGGAACGTTGAACTGCACGATCTCACTGGAGCTGGCACTTCCTTCTTCAGTTCACCTCAAATTTGATGCATTTACTGACCCGTTTCCCATGTATGCCAATACAAACAGCTTTATAGTGTTGTAAACATCGCAATGCTTTGTTCATTCATCTCGCCTTCTCAAGGTAAGCTCTTACTCGAATGCCACTGTAAAGTTTGCGCTTTTCTTCGTTTTCTTTGATGGGTTCATGTCCTTTTTTTT